GAATGAATGGAAATCCAAAGTCTCTGTAAACTTGTTCATGAAAATGAATTAAAATAAAAAACCAGACAACCAACCAAGCAAACAAAAAAATTCTTTAATTGTTGCATAATTTCCTCCCTCCCCAGAGTTCACTTTGCTGTGCACCTCTTATTCTGGGCTGTTGCCATGCAAATAATACTTCATCATAACAACAACAACAACAATACCATATTCCTTTTAAAAGTTCTTTGCCTCATCTGTTTCAATGCAGTATTTAATCCCTCTTTTCCTAGTTTTCCATCAACCTTCACGTCAGTCCCATTTTATAACAGTAGCATTATGCAGTATTTGTCCTTTTGTGACTGAGCTATTTCACTCAGCATAATGTCCTTGAGAGTCACCCATTTTGTATAGTATTTTATGAGTTCCTTGTTTTTCAGTGCTGCATAGTATTCCATTGTGTGGATATACCACAGCTTCTCTATCCATTCTTTTGTTGATGGGCAGTGGGGTTGCTTTCCACAGAGTTTTCAAGGATGCAGTGTTTTTAGAAGGTTGATGTGCCACAGGATGGGTATGAACCAACAAGGTTTGGGTTAACAGTTGAGCACTTAACCAACTGTGTCATCCAGGGACATATATATGATACAACCACAATGGGGGGTAATTAGGATACACTCTGAAATTATATATGCATAGACTCTTTGACCAACAAGTTCTGGCTCTAAGAATTTATTGTAGAGAGTTCTCCAATGCAAGAAGAATGTCCTGTGTAGAAGGTGATGGGTGCAACACAGATTGAAACAACAACAAAAAAATATGACGGTATCAACCTAAATGTCCATGCATAGGGGACTGCTATTAAATACATTTGGGAGATCTGCTGGCTTAGTGCTAAGGAATTACACTGCCAACTCAAAGGCAGGTAGTTTGAATCTACTAGCTGTGTGCAGGGAGAAAAATGGGCAATCTCCTACAATTTACAGCCTCTGAAAACTCACTGGAAGATCAGCTATGAGTTGCTTCCAACTCCACAGCACATAACAATAACATTAAGTAAATTATGGAACACCCACTCAGTGATGTATTCTGTAGCCAAGAAAAAAGAATGAAGAAGCTTTTCATGGCTTGAAGTGCAGCCACTTCCCAGTTATAACAATCAGGTGTAGAAAGCATCTTTCAGAATTGTGACTGTGAAACTCCACCAAGGGCCTGGGGAGCTCTGGTGGCCCAGTGCATCGGGAACTGCACTGTTAATACAAAAGCTACAGGCCTCTCTGGTGGTTCCAATCCACCAGCGGCTCTAAGGGAGAAAGATAGGACAGTCACCTCCTACAGCCTCAGGACACCTGTGGAGGATCAGCTGTGAGTCACTTCTGACTAGAAGGCAATGAGGTTTTTGAGTAGTGAGAGCATAAAGTAAGGTAAAGGTCTGTCTGTCTGTGCATTCAGTGTGTGTTTGTGTGTTTTCCTCCTGTCTATGTCATCAGCATACATGTTGGGCTGGTGACCAAAAAGGCAGTGGTTTGAATCCACCAGTTGCAATTTGCTTCTGCTAAGACTTAGAGCCTCAAACTCTTTTTTTTTTTTTTTAAATTTTTTTTTACTTTTTATGTGTGTACCATCAAATCAGATCTGACTGGTACAGGAGGAGATTGTCCCTCCTTCTTCAGCAGAGCATCTGGTGGATTTGAACTGCATACCTCTGGGATTGCAGTGCAGCTTCTTGCCACTAGGCCACCAGAGCTCGCCTGAGCCTCAAACTCTTAAGCTGTCTTCCTAGCAACCCAATGGAAAGTCACTGTGAGTCAAGACTGACTGGACTAGGTAGCATTGCACTGGATTTCCTGCTGTCTGTTTCTATGTGGGTGGGGGTATATGTGCATGATTTGCTTTACTTTCTTGAACGAACTAACCCTGGAAGGTCACTTAGAAAACTAGTAATGACTGTTTGTCTCCAAGAAAGGGAGGGAAGCAGCTGGTGCCAGCGGTGGGAGGGAGACCCATCCATTTATACTTTTTGAAATTTGGTCCTTGTGAAAGTGTGACTTATTCAAAGTAAAATATAATTAAAAATATAGTAATATAGTAAGGAATATAGTGTAGTACCTGAAAAAGTAACTTTAGATATATGAAATGTGTTAAATCTTTGCCCCTTCTGCATGAACTATACCACCTAGATATTCAATGGGAACCGAGGGGAAGTGCCTCATTCTGGGAGAATTACAGTTAATACCTGAAGTCAGAGAACAAGACTATCACAGATGTGCAACCTCTGCTGAATGTTGAGCAGGATCATAGTACCACAACATCACAGGGAGACAGCCAGCATCACGGGTGCCTCCTGATGGGAGCTCACAGAACCACTCAGGAGGCCGTGGTTGTTGCAAGGTGCCATCGTTGTCAATGCTGACAAACACCACCCCGTCCAGGGGCATTGTCACAGCCGCTGCTGTGGCCAGAAACCTCAAACCTGAAGCTTATCCAGCCTTAGACCCAACATCAAATTTGCAGGAAATATAAGAAATAGAGGAACATGTTAAATGACGCCACAAGGGTGCAAGGAAAATCCAGAGTAGGAACCTCTTAGGTTAACTGTTCTCATTTCATGAACCAATAGATTGTAATGGGAACGTCTGCCTTGAGCACTGTGCTCTTTTGAGATCTGTCTACATATGATCAAACTGACAACAGACACTCAAAAGCTTAATATAGGAAGCTGGGGTGGGGGGATAGGAACGTAGGGGGCAGTGAATGATACTGTGGGAAGAACAACACAGAAAAGAAAAGTGAGAAAAAGAACACAATTCAAAGGATGTCACTGGTGCTGCTGAATTAAGCATGTGGAAATTGCTGAACTGGTGAATGTTTTGTTGTGCATAGTCTCACCAACAATAATAAAAAGTTTTCTTTTTCTCCCTTACCAGATATAGCCATTTTCAGGGACCTTAATGATCTCAATTATCCTTAAGGCTCATAATATGGCTTTACTACTACCAGCTTTAAAAATATTTCTGCAGAAACATACACAGAAAAAAATATCATTTTAAAAAATTATCATGAATAAATAACTCCTTGCTGTGGAACTGGAATGGACTCAGAGCTCTGCCTCCACTGGGTTTCTGAAGCTATAAACTGCACGGGAGGAAACCACCATCTTTCTGTGGAGCCACAGGTGGATTTGAACTTCTGGAGGCCTACGACCATGCTACCAGAGTTCCCTAACTGAAAAGGGGTTGGGGGGTATATTAAAAGACAAATGGATAAGCTAATTCTGTGACCTTCTATGAGTACTGAGTCAAAGAAATAAAAAAGATTTTTTAAAAAAGCAAGACTATCTGTGACATTGATGAGCCTGATCAAGTCACCTCAAGACTAGAATTTTGAATGCTGGCATTTTTATCACGCAGGAGCAGACAATGCTGGGTTCAAGTTTAACTCAGAAATTGACTTGCTGCTGTGAGACCTGGGAAAGGCCACACATCTCTTGGAGCTTCAGTGTCTTATCTGTAAAATGGGCCTCATGACGGTTTCTACCCGACAGGGGTGCCGCGAATACTACACGAAATGAAGTGTTATGTACAGAGAGCCTAGCGGAGAACCCCCAGGAAAACGTGGATTATCACAAATGTGGTGACTCTATACTCTGCCTTCACAGGGTGTGGCGCAGCCCGGGTGGCGGTGAAGCTGAGTTCACCTTGGCGAGTGGACCGGCTCACCAGGGCGAGGGGACCGGCTCACCTGGGCGGGGGGACCAGCTCACGGCCGATCACCCCCTTCACCTTCGGGGCCTCCCCTCTCAGCGGCCATCTTACCTCTCGGTGGCCATCTTCACCTCGTTGACCAGCCGTCGGACCCCGACAACCTGCCTCCAGAGGACGAGCAGGCGGCTGTGCTCGTTGCTGAAGTAGCTGTTGAAGGACTGGAGGGAACGTGGCTGCGTGAGTGCCCGGCGGCTTCCCCTCGCAGGGGCTTCCCCTCCCGGGCGCATCCCGGCCTCAGCTCCCGGCCTGCGGGAGGGCTGCGCTGGACAGCAAGCTGGACGCTGAACCGGTCACACTGCCTCCACCCGGAGAGGGAACGAAGACGGGCGGGCAGTGCCCCCGGCCTACCAGCTACCCAGTGCACCCGAGCTACCAGCCGCATGACCTCCCTTTAAAACGATGACAGATCCTTTTCTGGTTCATAAGAATGATGACTGGGTGTTGATTCTTTTGTATGACATGTGCCTCCCTTTAACCTTGCTAAGACGTCAGCACATTACCTGTCTGATGTGGGGGGGGGGGGAAGTTGAAAAAGCTAATGACAGCACCTACCACACCTGGCTGTTAAGGGGCTACACACGTGGCACATGGTACTAGGCACAAAGCTAGCTGTTAGGGTCATGGCTACTTCTCTCGGCTCACGTAGCTGATGGCAGCCGCCCCATCACACTTCTGGGCACTTGCTACTCTAGCAGGGCTCTTCCCTTCAGGTCAGGCTGGGTCCTGTCAGGCTAACGTGTTTGCCCGGTTCCCAAGATGCCCACCTCCTCCTCGCGCCTCCACGCCGCCTCCCGCTGCTCCAGCTCCTGGCGGCTGCGCGTCCAGTCACTGGTCACCTTGCGTATGTCCTCACTCAGGGCCTGGTTGGCTGAGCCCACCTGCTCCAGTTGCTCCCGGAGCATGGCATTCACCTGGACCAGGCTGGCACTCCTGACAGGGGGGGCAGACAGGCATGGGAGGCGGGGGTCACCCCAGTCCACCTTGGCTCCACCCACTTGTGCTGGGAGGACTGCCCCTGCTGGAGCCCCACCTCTGCTGTTCCTCCTCCAGCCTGATGAGGGTGCTCTCCAGGTCCTGCCGGTGTTCAGTGTCCTGCGGGGGACACCGAGAGAATCAGCTTGGGCGCTGCCCCCGCCCCGGTGGCAGCCCTGCCCCCACCTGGCACCCACCACCCACCCTTAGCCGCTGCTGCTCCAGCTCCGTGGACCGCTCCAGAAGCTGTTGCTCCATCTCTGTGCACTTCTTTTTGTACTGGAGGATCTGGGAATGAGTGACGAGTGATGGTTAGTGACCAGAGGGGAGGGGGGTGGGGGGAGGCATGAGATGTGCGGGGGGGGGGCAGGAGCACCACGGGCGGCCCTGACCTTGGCCTGCAGCCGCTGCACGAGCTGGGCCTGCCGCTGCTGCCCCTCTTGATAGGCTTGCAGCTTGCGCCGGTAGGAGGCCTGCTCCTCCTGCAGCTGCCGCCTCAGCTCCACGCTCTGCCGAACCAGCCCCCTTGGCTCCAGCGTCTCCAGTTCCCCCGACTCCAGCTGCACAGCCTGCTCCAGCTGCAGGGAAGAGCCCTGGGTGAGAGGTCCAGGCCTCTCAGGAAGGCAAGCATGGGCCTCTGCAGGGGGCGCCAGGCGGGCTCTAGCCTCACAGTGCCTTGCAAAGCTGTTAGCCTGGCACCCTGGGGAGACAGGCACGTATGAGCAGGTCCAGGAGGCATGAGCATGCAGGTGGTATGTGTGCATAGGCAAATGCAGCTAAGTATGGGCACACAGACCAGGCATGCAGAGAGTACAGGTGGAGCATACATGAACACATGCAGGACATATGTACACAAACACCAGTGCATGCAAATATAGATGTACCTGGTAAGCCTTGGCGGCCCTGGTACACCCTGTGCATCTGGAGAACACTTACCTTGTTGCACTTTATGATTATTGGATTCCCCTGCCCATCCCCCAGCTCCCATCCTCATTCAGCCCCTGCAATGAGCTCACTAAAGTCTGGGGTTTTGGTCCCCATTGTCTCTTAAGTGCCCCAAAAGGGGTGGCAGGTTGAGACAATGGAATGAACTGCATGAGCACCTGCATAATACAGCTGTCAACACACACAGATATCAGTATACACACATGTAACACACAGGCAGCCCCGAACATGCCCAGAGGGACACACATGAACCACCTCCACTCATACAGACGGGATGAAGACTCACAGACGTGCATATGAATGCTTTGATACACATGACATGCATCTTAATTGCTCCCTCAGGTAAACCCCCACTGCTCCCTGACATGAGAAGGTGAGGGGGAACTAGAGGGAGGGGGAATACTGTCTACCACCTGGTGAGTAGCTGGGGGGCTGGGCACAAGGACAAAATGGGAGAATGGACCTTTTCAGCCTAATGAACTACACAGAAATCAGACTGACTACATCTGTGGACAGAGATGGTAGAAATATCAACAATCAAAACAAGGCCAGGGGCTGGCTGTGGAACAGACTATCAGTTACTCATGTGCAAGTTCAAATTGAAGGTGAAGAAATGGAAAACAAGTCCAGAAGAACCAAAATATGACCTTGATTCTATTTCAAGTGAATTTAAATGTCATCTCCAGAACAGATTAGATGCACTGAACACTAACGACTCAAGACCAGATGAGTTGTGGGAAGACATCAAAGCATCCTTGAAGAAAGCAAAAAGTCATTACAAGGGCAGAAAAGAAAGACCAAAATAATTATCAGAAGAGACTCTGAAACTTGCACTAGAACATAGAGAGGCTAAAACAAAGGGGAGAAATACTCAAGAAAGAGAGATGCATAGATTTCAAAGGGCAGGCCAAGAAAATAATCACAATGAAATGCACCAAGAGCTGAGTTAGAAAACCAAAAGAGATGACCACAGCCAGCATTTCTAAAGTTGAAGGATTGGAAGAACAAATATAAGCCTCCAGTTGCAATAATGAAGGACTTTATGGGCAAAATCTTGGAAGGATGCAAGAAGCATCAGAACACAGAAGCTCTAGACCAAAAGAAGTCAAACCATTTCAAGAAGTTACATAGGACACAGGAGCAATGATTTTGTAAATCACTACCTGTCTTGTGAGGGACTGGGGAGTATTGTGCTCAGTGAACTAACTCAGACCTGTAAGGACAAATATTGTATAAGACCATTATTGTAGAACATGTATGAGAATCCAAGGGGGGCAGGGAGGAGCAGAGGGATAAGAATGAGAGGGGAGGGCTGTTAATCATAAGGTCGTAAATTTGATGGGTGGAGGGAGAGGTGGGTAAAAGAAATGGGAAAGATCTGGTGTGAAAAACAATGTATACAAGCTTTGTAAGTAAACTAGTATAAAATAAAATTTTTATTTTTTTAGGGAAAGGTCCAAGCTGCACTTAAGTCATTGGCAAAAAATAAGGCCCCAGGAACTGATGGAATATCAATTGAGGTGTTTCAGCAAACAAATGCAACCTAGGACATGATCACTAACCTATGCCAAGAAATTTGGACAACAGCTACCTGGTCAACTGACTGGAAAAGATTCCTATTACTTTCCATTCTCAAAACAGAGGATTCAACAGAAGTAGAAACTATCAAACAGTATCATTAATATCACATGCAATTGAAAGCTTACAGAGGGTTATAGGGGGAGGGGAGTGACAGTGAACTACCAGAAATGCAAACTGGATCCAGAAGAGGCAGTGGCATAAGGGATATCACTGCTGCTGTCAGATGAATCTTGGCTGAAATCAGAACACCAGAAAGATGTTTACTTGTGTTTCATGACTAAGCAAAGGCATTTGTGTAGATCATAACAAATCTCGGTAACACCGAGCATAACTGGAATTCCAGAACACTAATTATGCTCCTGTGAAACCTGTATCTAGACCAAGAAACTATTGTCCAAACAGACCAAGGGAACACTGCATGGTTTAAAATTAGGGAAGGTGTGCATCAGGGTTGTCTCCTTTCTCTAAACCTACTTATTTAATATGTAGGCTGAGCAAATCATTTGAGAAGCTGGGCTATAAGAAGATGACTGTGGCATCAGAATTGTTGGAAGATTCATCAACATCCTGCATGATGCAGATGACACAACCTTGCCTGTAGAAAGTGAAGACTTGAAGCATTTATTGGAGCAGCTCAAAGCCTACAGTGACCATCAGTGTGTGTTTGGAGTTGTTCATAGGTTCGCTGAGTCATAGTTAACTAGAGGGCCCTTCATAACAACATGGTGCTGTATGGTTTTGCTATCTTTGTGTATCCAAAAGATAGGAGACGGCTGTGTTGTCCATGTTTCAGTTCTATTACGGTGGGTCTATTTATCCATGTGATGTGGTCCACGTGTAACCAACCGTGTGCTATCTGATTAGGGTTGGGGCTGTACTGTGTGTACTATGAGTCTGACTGTGTCTGTAGGAGGGGTTTGTGTCTCTGACACGTGAGTCTGGGGCCTCTGTGTGTTCCCCCTGGGATCCAATTGTGGTCTGTGTGTTGTGTATATTTTTTGTCTCTGTGTGAGCCAGGTGGTATTTGCTTCTATGATTAAGAGGGGTGCAGGTGGTTGCCAGGTACTCCTCCCCCTCTCCAGTGCTCAGAGCCAGGCCCAGGCCACAGCCAACTTCACCTCACTTTGCTTCACAAAACTGGCCCCTCACAACACAGCCTTTCAATTTTACATGTAATTCAGAAAGGGGGGAGGTAGGGGTTAGAGGAAGAGGCCTCCACCAAGCCAGGGATAAAAAAGTTTACTGTCTCCCCTAGCAACCGCTGTCCTCCAGTCTGCCTTTCAATTCACTCAGTTCAGGTTGCCATGGACACAGGGAGAGCAGAGGGGGTCCTCCACTGGAGCTGAGGGGGTGTGGTCACCCTCCTTCCCATTCCCTGTTGCCTAATTTACACCTGCTCCTCCCAAAAGGCAGGGACAACACTGACACTAAAGTTAACTCTGCAATAAGGGATATACCTTTAACTTGCTGGTCTGTCTGATACTTCTCTAAATCTGAACATTCACATTGAGACAGACTAGGAAGAAGGATTGGCCATCCACTTCTGAAATAGCAGGCCTCTGAAAACCCTATGTACAACAGAACACATTTAGATAACTGAAACGGCAAAGGAGGTTGAGTTTTCAAGTATGGATGAGGTGGATTGATTCAGTGATTGTGATAATCGGGATGGGAGTGTCGGAGACAGTGAGATTGGCACAGGATAGAGCAGAGTTTAGGGCTGTTGTACATAGGGTTGCTATGAGTCGCAGGCGACTCGACGGCACATAACAACAACAACAACAACCTCCCAAAATGGGGTTGAGAAGGGATCCACAAGGGCCATGAGGTCCTCTCTGACCTAGGAGGTAGCCCTGGAAACCTGTGCCTCAGTTTTCCTACATGTAGGCAACAGGGCATAGATCCTTATCTCCACCCCTATCCCGTCACTCTCCATGTCAGGGATGCCAGGGATGCTGTAGGTTTTAAAGGATCAGAACTACCATCCTGACTGACCCTAATCCAGGCCCTTTAGGTACTGGAACAAGCAGACAGCAGGGAGAGACAGTGCCACAGAACAGAGCTCTGGCCCGAGGTCTGGGGCCGAGTCCTCGTCTCAGTTCCTCCACTGACCGGACGTATAACACCGCTCTCCAGACCTCAGTTTCTCCATCTCTAACAAGGTTATCACACAGGATTTTAGTGTGCCAGGTGGGGCTTCACTCAAGCCAAACTGGCCAGAGGAGAATTCAAACACCACACACCCTTCACACGTTACCCTGTGGCCTTCAAAGGCTCCTACTGGTAACTTTCCACAAACCCAGAACACCCAACTTCTAACAGAGATGGGAGTCGACACCTCCCACCTCTTCCCCTTCTTTCCATTCCAGGGACAATGCTAGTTCCACTGTCAGCAGGGTGTTAGCATTTAAGATGCAGCACCCCCACGGCCCGGCACAGGGTCTGGGGCCAAAAGCAAAAAGGGCTAAACCCAAAGCCTGGCTCAGGCCCCCATTGCCACTGCAGGGCTGGAGCTGGCCCAGCCTCTATATACCCCCTGTAAACTCTGGGAAAACTAGCTCCGCACTGTTCCGAGCACCAGAGGCCACCTCGGACCCCTGCCATGCTCCTCGGCGAGTCCCAACAAGTCAGAGGCTAGTCCGGGCGGGCAGACAATGCTCAGAAGGCGCGCACACAGCCAAACACAAGAAATAATATACCCGCTTCCCGACATGGTACACAAGGCCCAGTGGACAGGCCTGGCTCAGGGAATCTGGGGTTAAGCCAGGTTCTGCCACCACACTGGGCACCCTGGACCAGGCCTGGTCCCTTCTGGGCCTCAAGATCCCCATCTGTAACAACAGAGGGCCACAGGGGTCAGTGCCTAAAGCCCAAGTGCCCCACAGAACACCCAGCACAGCTGTTTCTTCACAAACACAGGGAACATAACCACAATTCAGAGCCCTGGCTAGAAGTCAGGAGATCCAGGTTCTAGCCTTAATTGGCAACATGACCTTGAGCACGAGGCATCCCTTCTGTGAGCCTCAGTCCCTCTCTGTCAAATGAGCATCATAATGGTACCAACCTTCATGTTTTACTTAGAAAATACCTAGCACATGCCTCGCATATAGTAGCCACTCAATAAACTGTAGCGACTATTACAATGGTTATTACTGCCCCACACATCTCCCAACTGCACACAAACATACACACACACCCCTTCCTTTGTGCAATTCTCTCACAGCAATTCTCAGCTATCAACTCCTGAGGCTCCCCTCTCATGAACCTGGTGACTCGAAGGTGAAAGTGCCTCACAAGAATCCTGTGTCCTTGGGTCACACCAACCTCGTACCCTGGACTCTGCAGCAAGGGCCTAGGGGATGGGAATCCTATCTGGACTTAGAGGCAGATCTGGCTTCTTCCTCCCTTGTAAACCTTTATCCCCTTGGGAAATGGCAGGAGACTGTGGTCACCTCGACCCAGAGAGGCCTGAGGAACGCTGCCAGTGCCATGGCAGCCTGCCTAGTGTCCAGCCGTTGCCTCAACTCCACACCAAAACCCACTGTTGTCAAGTTGATTCCACAGGTGTCAGAGTGGAACTGTGCTTTACAGGGTTTTCAACAGCTGGAATATTCTAGACATGAACCACTAGGCCTTTCTTCTGTGGTGTCTCTGGGTGGATTTGAACCACCAACTTTTCAGTTAGTTGCTGGGTGCAAACAGTTGCACCACCAGGGACTCTGCCTCAGTTCTACCACCCATATAATGAGAGCCCAGGAAGATGTCCAGAGAATCGAGGGTGCAGGCAGGACTTTTAGGGTTCTTTCTATCTGTGCCATCCATCCCAGGCAGGCCTGGAACTGATGGGAGGAAACACCCCTGTACCGGACCCTTTATTACATTATCATTGATTCCTCCAACTAGATCCATATCATGTCACCATCCCTCCCGTAGATCACATCCTCAGAGGCCAGAAATGACTTGCTTGAGGCCATTCAAGTTGGCAGAGCTAGGATTCGAATCCAAGCCTGCCTGCTTGACTCCTCGCCTGTGCAATCGGGGAGCCCCTCACCCAGCGCCCCCGGAACCCTAGGGCAGCACCCACCCTCTCGCTGACTGCATTGAACTTGATGGCAAGCTCGTCACGCTCGGCGCGGCTCTGGGCCAGCAGGTCCTCCACCCGGGACAGCTCCTGCTGCAGCAGCTGGTTCTCCTCTTGTAGTGACAGCAGCGATGCCATCTCCGTGGCTGACAGTGCAGCTGGCAAGAGACAGCGGGGTCACAGCTGGCATTGTCCTGCATCCAGAGGGGACACCCTCCCGCCATCAATGTCCCACTCCACTCTTCACTCAAGGCCAAAGCTCAACCACGGGGGCAGCCTGGATAGGAGTGGGTGTGACACTAGGTTGTGCAAACACAACTGATGAACAAAAAGGTGGGCAAACAGAGGGACCCACAGGCAGACTAAGAGTGTCCCCTCCTGCAACTGAGGGGTGGCCAGGCCCCAGAAGTTTCAGGAAAGAGGCTCAGTCTAGGAGCCAGAAGAGTAAGTAAGCCGCATGTCCTAGTTTTTTCCTTCTCCAGTATGACTCTTTTCTGACCTCAGTTTTGCCTATCTTTGAAATGGATAGTTTAGCATCCAGCTCTTGCCAGACAAACACAGAAGTCTCACTCAAGGGAAGGGTTTTATGTAGTTTCTGAAGCCAAACAAGGTCATAGTGTAGGTCAGACTGCAAGAGGGAGAAAAAAAGAAGAGGGAGGAATAAGGGGGTGAAAAGGAACGCCAGAGAGAGAGAGAAGCAGGGTTCTCTGCTGTTGGCTCCCCTCTTTTCTGAGTGGACTGGACACATGCCATGGTTCCCAGGCAACTGCAGCCAGCTATGCTCTTCCAGTCAGACTGAGAGTTTTCTAAATCTTTCTCTCTCTAGGAATTCCAGGGGCCCTTAACACCCCTAGTCCTCCAATGAGAGGCCCATCCCTAACCCGGCAGTTGCACAGTGGCTGTGCTGGAAGCAATAATACACCATCTGGGAGAGCAGTGAACACACCACCTGCCTGTGTGTGGCCTCCGCAGGCCCTGAAACCACATAGTGAGGTATAGGTGGTGCTTAGAGCAGCTGGGGTCCACCTTCCTGCATGTACAGGGAATGGGGAAGAGGCTGCAGCAGCCCAAGGACAAGCTGATCTGACCTCTGGTTTAGTCAGGCTACATCTTCCTTGGGAGGGAATATGATATTTGGGATTCAATCTTTGCCATAAGCTGCAGGCATAAGATGTTCAGCCTTAGCCACATTGTCTAGGGCTGAAGCCTGGGCAAATGACATTACAGCTCTGGGTCTCTTGTTTCCTCATCTGTAAAATGGGTCTCTGTAATGAAAAGCGGTGTGCTTGCCTCCCAGTGCATATTCAGGAAACAGAAGCTATAATCCTGTCTGCTGAGGTATGGGATATGAAGGGGCGGAGTGTGGGCAATGTCTGTGGAGGAGAGGATGGGGTTATGGTACCTGTACTGTCAGGCTGGGAGAGATTGCGGGTGACAATCTCCCGGATGCAGGCGGGCAGGCAGGTGGGCTGAGAGTCCTGGGTAGGATCCTGTACACTCAGTCCTTTCTCATTGCTGGGCCCCAGGACGCTGTTCTCCAGTGTCTGCAGGGGAAAGGATCTTCAGAGGACCTGAGGTCCTTAGGCTACACAGAAGAGAGGCAAGGCCCTGCCACCCAAAATGCAGATGCCCAGGAGACATGCTTAAGAAGAGTCTGTGATTCAACAGACAGAGCGCCCCATGGGAGGGGAGCCCAGGCTGTCCTTACCCTACAAAGACCTAATCCTATGGCCAGTTAACGAACACTGTCAAGCCAGCACAGAGCACTGGGAACTCCAGTCTAGCACCAGCCCTACGTAGTGGTAGAGGTTAGTGCACCCCAAAAAGCTGGGGTAAGGAAGTCACAGTACTTGAGTCCTGCCTGTCTCCCTGTCCCTAGTATGGCTGGGACATTCCACCTGCCACAACCTCTCCAGCTCTGAACCCCCCACAGCAGGCCCAACCTTCCTCAGCCTGCTAAACCATGCTTCCCCCCCCCAGCTCTGGGCAGAATGGGTGCAGCCCCCAGGACCAACCTGGATAACAGTCTCCAGGGCCAGCCCAACATCCAGTGAGTCCTCCAGGCCCAAGCTCATGGGGGGGTGTGCCGTGAGCACTCCTCCTGCCCTCCTCCCCTGGGCCCAGATACTAGGCGAGCCCCTCTGCCCCTTGGCCAGGCTGCTATGCTGAGCACTGGAGAGATTAGGCTTAAATCCGGCGGCGACCCCACGTGACCGCGAGGGGGAGGAGCGAAGGGAGGGGAGGGGGAAAGGAGGGGGAGGAGAGGAGGAGAAGGGTGCAAAGGGAGAAAGAAGACAGGAAGATGAAAAGGACAGGAAGGTGGAGACTGAGAGGAGAGAGGAGGGAAGGGGGTGGAGATGAAGACCCCTCCTCAAAAGCTGCTGGGTCCTAGAACCCTCCAACCCTGAGAATGCGGTCAGCGCCCAGGAGGCAGCAACGGCTAGAGTCCAAGCCTAAGGACCATCGTCGGTGACCCCAAACCAAGGTCACGTGGTCTGCTAGGAAAGTATTAACAAAACACTGGAAGGACCTTTTCCCTTTCCAGCTGCAGGCTCTGAAATCACCTAGACCAGGCAAAGTCTGAATCCCAGCACCAGCTGTGTGTCCTCCAGGAAAGAGCTACCATGTCTGAACCTCTAATGTAGAGAATATTCGTGTGTGTGTGTGTGTGTGTGTGTGTGTGTGTGCGCGCGCGCGCATTTGAAAATCCAAAAGATAACAGTCCCTGTAGCTCAAGCTACAGCCTGGTCGCCTGGTGTCCCTTCCCTGTGGCAAACATGTTGTTCTGAATAGTGGTTTAGACTCTGGACCAGTCACATCTAAAATCAACTCTGTCACTTGTTGCCAATATGACTGTGATTTCAGTTTGCTCATCTCTAAAATGGGAACAATCATACCCACAGGTTTGTTGTGCAGATTAAATGAGTTGATGGGTGAAGGGTTTTAGAACTCTTTTGGCCCATAAAGTAAAAAACTAAAACTACTGCTGCCTGTACATTTCAACTCATAGTGACCCCACAGGACGGAGTAGAACTGTCTGCCTCGTAAGGCTTCCAAGGCTATAAATCTTTACAAAAGCAGGCCGCCACTTCCTCACAATGTACGGCTGGTGGGTCCTTCTTGTGAAGTGCCACTGAGTCAACTACAACTCACAGAAACCCTATGAACAAAAACTCTGAACCCTGTACCAACTTTACCATCCCTGATATGCTCCAGCCCTGTTGACTGTTACAGTCACTGTGTCAATCCATCTTGCTGAGTGTCCTCTCTTTGGATGACCCTCCACCTTTCGAAGCAGTCTTTTTTCCAAGGACTGGCCCTTCCTAACAACATGCCCAAAGTATGTGAGACAAAGTTTCATCATCTTTGCTTCTAAGGAACACCCTGACTGCACTTTCTCAAAGACCTAGCTTTTTGTTCTTGGCATAGATCCTTCTTCTGTCATCCTTATTCACTGCGCAACTTCCAGATGCACAGGCCCACAGTGGTAGCTAGTTATATATAGCTAGTTATCAAAGGCTGCTGTTTCCATCTTCACTAGCGTCACATCCGGCTGCCTCTCTACCTTCAGCCCCATCACATTTCCTGGTCCATTTGACACCACACCTGAGCTTTCCCAATCCACTGCCAAGGCAATGCCCCAGGCTGTCCTGGCATCTGGGGTCTCCCTCCCCTAATGCTTATATCTCATCTCCCCAGGGGCAATCATTGTTAAAATGCTCAATCGGCAAGTACTCCATGCCACTCCCCACAGAGGGCATATCCATATTATCTTATTTAACTCTCCACTCAACCTACTTCTAGATGAGAAAACCAAGGCCCTTCAGGACTCTTACCTATGACATTGCTAGATAAACCCAAAACTCATTATACACAACAGCCTCCTGAACTCATTATACACAACAACACTGCCTGGCTCAGGGCCGCCTGAAGGCCTACATCTGGGTCAGACCCAGGGATGTGGCAGGTGTTGCATAAATTCCCAGCAGTCCAGGCCTGGGTTCCCCACCCCACCCCCAGCCCCAACCAGGGAATCTGTCCCCTGCAGAGTAAAGAAATGGAAAAACCAGGAAACAGGGCACACCAAGCCAGGGCAGTCAGTTGCCATGGTAACCTAGGCCCGATTTAAGCAAAATTCAAGGGCACTCAATAGCAACAAATAACAAACATGGTCAAGGACAAGGAGCTGCCACCACAAAGTGCAGAGATCCCTGCTCCACGCCTAAGTTTAATGACTGTAGTCTGTAGTGAATGTGAGATGCAGTTTCACCATCACTGCCTCTAAAGAGCACCCTACTGTGTTTCCTCCAAGACAAGCTTGTTTGTTAATGAAAACTTTCAACAAGATGGATTGACACAGTGACTGCAACAATGGGCTTGAGCGTATCAGAGATGGTGAGGATGGTGCTGGATAGGGCAAGGTGCAGATCTGTCCTTCACAAGTCATATAAATCATAGCCAACTGGCTGCCACTTAACAATAGTACCTAATACGGAGATCCGGACCTGGCTCACAGCAGACCATGAGGCACCACTGGGTGAATAAGCACATCCTCTGTTTCCATTCTTCGCCATCCATCGGTAGCATCAGGATGGATGGTGAAGAGATTGAGATTGTTCACAGCTTCAGTTTGCTCGGCTCCACGGTCAACACTCTTGGCACCAGCAGCCAGGAAATAAAAAAAAACGTATTGCAATGGGAAAGTCTGCGGTTAGGGACCTCTCTAAAGTACTCAAGAGCAACGGTGTCTCTCTGGAGACTGAGGTGCGCCTGATACAGGCCATGGTCTTTGCAATCACTTGTTATGCATCAGAGAGTTGGACAATGACTAGGGAGGATAGAAGGAGAATTGACGCCTTTGAGCTGTGGTGCTGGAGAAGAGTACTGGATGTTCCATGGACTGCCAAGAAAACAAACAGATCCATCCTAGAGAGGGTTAAACCAGGCTACTCCTTGGAGGCAAGGATTCTGGGGCTTCGTCTGACATACTTTGGACATGTTGTAAGGAGAGACAGGTCCTTGGAGAGGGACATCATGCTTGGTAGGGTAGAGGGACAGCGCAGGAGGGGAAGACCCTCTATGAGGTGGATTGATTCAGTGACTGGGGTAATCGGGATGGGTGTGTCAGAGGCAATGCAATTAGCACAGGATAGAGCAGGGTTTAGGGCTGTTATACATAGGGTCACTATGAGTCGCAAATGACTCGACAGCACATAATAACAACTGTTCCCATTCTCTCCCCACTCCCACCGGCTTTGCCCATCTCCAATCCTGCAGTTAGCCAAGGCTCCCTTCAACTAGTCCCAAAGCCCCTTAACATTCACTCCCGAATTTCAAACACATTAGCTGCACTTACTTACTTGTTGCTGTGATTGTCAAAAGAATAAACAAGTAAGTCTTGGAGAAAGTGCTTGGAAAGGTTAGAGGGTCGGCAAAAGAGAAGACCCTCAATGAGATGGACTGACACAGTGACTGTAATAGTGGACTCAAGTCTATCAGGCATGATAGGCACAGCAGAGGGCAGGGTTCACACCCATTGTTCACAGAGTTCCTATGAGTTGTAGTCGGCTCGACGGCATCTAACAACTGTGTTCCAGGCACCAGCCAAGGTCTCTGATGTGTATTATAAGCCACAGTCATTTCATTTTTGGACAGTTGAGATGACCCCTAGGGGGTGTCTCTGCTCTCCTCTTTCCCCGTCCAGTCTATCTTCACACAGCAAAAACTATGTCCATAAATGTGTAAGATGTGCTAGAGAATGTTTTGATCTGTGCATCTTTATAAAAATTAAAAAAGAAAGAAATCATGTCCATCCTCTGCACAGACCTTCCACTGGCTCCTATTATTATTGTTATGTGCCATCAAGTTGTTTGCAACTCATAACGACCCTATGTAAAACGGCTCTGAACCCTGCTCTATCCTGTGCCAACCTTACTGTTTCTGACACACCAACCCCCGTTACCCCGGTCACTGAGTCAATCCCTCCCAAGCATGATGTCTCTCTCCAAAGACTGTTCTCTCCTTGCAACATGGTTCTTATTATACCCAACATAAAATTCAAAGTCCTGTTCACAGCAGACAAAGCCTGCCAATCCAGCCCTGGCCCGCTTTTCCTAACTTGTGGAATCCTCTCCCCTAGCCCCACACTCATTCTGCTCATGTAAAGATGGCTTTTCAGACTTTTCTCAAACACACCAAGCCCACTGCCACCTTGAGGACCTTCGCACATGCAATTTCCTCCGCCTGGAATGCTCTTCCTGCCCTCCACCCCCACTTCCTTTGCATGGAAGACTCCTGTTTGTCAAACATTTCTTAGTTGAAAAGTGTCACCTTCTGAGACACTTCATGTGAGAAACAGCTCAATGCTGTTGGTCAACTACAACTCACAGCATCTCTAGACACAGTGTTGAAAGATGTGGCAGTCTGCTTCTATAAAGATTACAACTTTGATTCCAACCAGCTGCCACCCTGTAGGAGTAGTAGAACTGCGTCATGGCATTCCCAAGGCTGTAATCTTTATAGGAGGAGCTCTGGTGGCCTAGTCCGTAGTGAGCCCTAGAGTCTGGGCTTCTCTGACAGTTCAAATCCACCAGTGGCTCTGAGGCAAAGAGAGGGACAGTCTCCTCCTGTGTGATTTGCAATCCCAGAAACCTCCTTGAGAGTCAGCTGTAAGTCTGAACTGACTTGACAACAGTGAATTTGAATCTGAATCTTTACAGAAGTCAACTGCCACATCTTTCTCCCTTAAGGCAGCTGATGGATTTGAACTGCCAGCCTTTGAGTTAGCAGCTGAGTGCTTCTGTCATCAGGGCTCCTTCTTCCTGGTTTATATCTCAAAATAAAAAATAATCTGTTGCTGTCAAATGTTGACTATTATATATTCAGTATTCATAATATTATACGATGGACTGCCAAAAGAACAAACAAATCTGTCTTGGAGGAAGTGCAACCAGAGAGTCCCTTAGAGGCAAAGATGGTAAAACTTCATCTCACCTACTGTGGGCATGTCATCAGGAAGTGCCAACCTTGGAAAAAGACATGCTGGGAAAAGGAATGGATGATGGATGGTTGCACA